AGAGGGATAATCTGTCCCAGGCTTTTCTCCTAATCTCTGGAGAAAAGATGCCCCTGTGTGTCTTCACATTGTTTTCCTTTGTGTGTCTGTGTCTTCTCTGTGTTTCTTCCCTTCTCAAAAGAACACCAGTCATTTTGAATTAAGGGACCATCCTACTCTAACATGAACTCATCCAGCTAATTATAAGTTTCAAGAACCTACTTCTAAATGAAGTCACTGCTGTGGCTTGAATATGGTTCGACTGTGTCCCCCAAAGTTTCATGTTGGAAACATGGTCCTCAATGTGCAGTGAGTTAGCTAGTTGCCATGGTCTGGATCTGGAAGGCCCACAAAAGCTCATGGATTGAAGGTTTGGTGGGACTTCTGGGAAGTGATTGAATCATAAGGTCTCTAAACTCATCAGTGGATTAATCCATTCTGGGAGATGTTTGAGACTGTAGGCAAGAGGGAAATGGTTGAAGATCACTAATGACATGCCCTTTGGGACTATATCTTCTCTTGGCCCTTTCCTCTTTCTCCCTCTCTACTTCCTACTGCCATTAGCTGAGCAGCTTTACTATATCACATCTTTCCACCATGATTGTCTCAAATCAATCCAAAGACAATGGAGCCAACCAACCACAAATTGAAATTATGAGCCAAAATAAATTTTCACTTCTCTCAGTTGTTCTCATCAGTTATTTGGGTCCAGTAACAAAAATATGACTAATAGTGGAGGAACATTTAAGAGGTAGGTCCTTTGGGAGATCATTGGGTCATGGAAATGCTGCCCTTGGCACAGATTAATGCAGTTCTTGTGGGACCCTGAGTTAGTTCTTCAGAAAGTGAACTGTAGTAAAAGAGCAAAAATAAACTCTTCTTATGCTGAGGCTTTCTATAATCCCATGAGATCTCTCTTACTCCTATCACTATTATGTTACCGGGGAGGCCCTCACCAGAGAAGATGACCCAGAACTTAGAGTAGAAGGGAAAAACAAATGGAAAAATATAGTAGAAGAGAGAAAGGACTGCAATTTTCAGAACTCTAAGCAGAAACTATAAACCCCCTTTTTTTATTTATCTATGGGAGTAGTTTGGATTTGTTTTTAGCTATTAAGAATTTATTTTAATACAGTGGGTTTTCAACAGAACCAAACATACTCTACTACATGGCAATTTTGAATGTTAGGGGAAAAGCAAGTGAAAAGATGAAGCTGTGCAGAAATTGAAAACTGCATTCAATATCTACAATTTTTAACACAGACGTTAGAAAAATTACAATTTGCATGATGTTAATCACTGGAACTGGTGGAGATGTTCAGAAGATGTGCCATGGGTTTGGGGTAAACAATATTGAAAAGCACCAGCTTAAGACTTCAGGATACAAACAACAGAGCTATAGATTTGGTGCAGGAAAACTCCGTAACTTTACCCAGTGATTTACTCGAGTTGCACAACTGCACAATTACTAAAATACACATGAATTTAAGGGTTTTTTTAAAACAAGAATAAATGCATTTGCTTCCCAAAATTGCTATGCAGATTAAATATGTATGAGGGCTATATGAAAATGTTAAATTCTATATCAGAAGTAGCAACTAGAAGGCTGGATGCAAGCTTCAATTTTCAGAAATAGTTTTTTTCAACCTGTGAAGTATTTTGTTTCACTTTGTTTTGGAGATTTTCAAAAATAAATTTTTGCTAATTTTTCCCACTTTATTGTGGTATAATTGACAAATAAAGATTATATACATTCAAGGTGTATATTCAATGTGACACACACACACACATACACACACATTGTGAAATGATTACCATAATCTAGTTAATTAATAAATTCAACATCTCACACCTGTTTGTGTGAGAATTTTTAATTACATAATACAAATTTCAAATATATAATGCATTATAACTAGCTGTGGTCCTTATACTACATTAGTATTGCAGTTATAACTGAAGGTTTGTGCCCTTTGACCAACATCTCTATTTTCCCCACCCTCTAACCTGCTCAAAATATTAAAAATAGAACTATCACATGATCTAATGATTTCACTTGTGGGTATACAGCCAGAGGAAATAAAACCACTCTCTCAATGTGATATTTGGACTTCCATTTTCATTGCATCTCATTTTCAGTACTAAGATGGGGTGTCAAGTGTTCATCAACAGATGAATAGATAAATAAAATAATATTATTCAGGCTTTTATAAAAGGAATTCAAGCATGGTGGTGCATGACTGTAATCCCATGACTCAGGAGACTGAGGTATGAAGATCTTGAACATGAGGCCAGACTCAGCAACCTAGTGAGACCCTGTTTTAAATAAAAAGGACCAGGGAAAGTAGTGCAATAGTAGAATATCTCTTTTTTTAATCCTAAGTAACAAAACAAAACAAAAAAGGCATCCTTTCATTGTTTCCATTTATTACAATAAGAGAAAACATGGAGGTTATTATATTAAGTGAGATAAGCTGGTCACCAAAAATTGCACTTATACATGGAAACTAAGAAAGCTGGAAATAGAAGTCTTTTTTTAAAATAATCGAATATTATGATCTAAATTTCCAGCTTTTCCTGAACAATCATCAGGACACAGTGCTGGGTCATAATTGCTGCAGGCAGCAGTAGCCTGAGACTAAGGAGTGCCTGCCCATTTAGTTGGGCATGGGTTCTCCTGTTTCCCTCAGTCTCTGCTCAGCACTCTTCACTCTGGTACCTCTTTTCTCTAAGGTACTTTCCTGTGTGCTTTTCAAAGATCTAATGTTTCCATAACTGTAGAAGCACATTGAGATGAAGGAAAATGTGAACTTTCAAAGAAGGTAAGAATTGGGGCTGGAGATGTGGCTCCAGCGGTAGCGCGCTCGCCTGGCATGTGTGCAGCCCGGGTTCGATCCTCAGCACCCTCAGCACCACATACAAAGATGTTTGTCGGCCGAAAACTAAACAATAAATATTAAAAAAATTCTCTCTCTCTCTCTCAAAAAAAAAAAAAAGAAGGTAAGAATCGCAAAGATTTCCTTTTGTATTTTTGACCTATTAGATTCAATAAATTGGGTAATAAATAAAAATATATAGAAATATGTTAAGAAAATAAATACAAAGAGAGGTAAAATCAGAAATTCCCTTTTATCTTTTCCCCAAATCTTTCTTACCTACATTTCCTCTTTTTAACTATTATTAAAATTTTTAATAAATATAACATCCTGCCACTATGCGTTCTAAGTATGTGTGTAGTTGCACATGCATGTATGCACATACTATTTTCACAAATATATCAAAATATACATATTATTATGTGATTTATTTTGGGACATAACAATAGATCCGATTCCATATAAATATTTAGAAAGCTATACTACAATTTTGAAAGGATAATAGTAAAAGTTAAATTGCAGTAGTTATTTAACTTTCTGTTGATGATACATATTTAGGTTCTTCTTAATTTATCTTACTTTTCAAACATTAATGTTATGATCATCTTTGTACATTTTCTTGACACACATCTGTCAGTTTATAGGAAAAATTGATATGATTTGCATTATTGGGTCCAAACAAATGCACATTTCAGATTTTGATTGGTACAGATAAACAGAAGAAGTCAATCATTAATCCTAACAGAATGCTAAAGCTGTTTCTCTGATACTTAGATGATGTGTAGGTCTGGTCAGATCTTGGTGAGGGATCATGAAATATAATGTGACATTTTATTTAATAAGAAAAATTACCTTGGTTATGTTCTTCCTAAGTGCAAATTTAAACCACTTAGTGTCAAAAATAAAGAAGAATGGCATCTGCTGTTCCTTCTCCCCATCACACACGCACACCCACGAAAGGTGGTAAAACTGTCCTTGAAACTGGAGTAGACATCTTTGACTTATGAAGAAGACAACAATAGAGACAGAGCCAATCCTCCTCACAACCAATCAGAAGTCTGGAGAGAGCCAAGTGGAAGAGAAACAAAGCTCTGTGCCAAAAAACCTAAGAGGCAGAAAGTGCCATGAGACATGCTCCAGCTGCAGAGGAATTGTGAAAAGCCCCAAATGGTTAAAAGGAATAGTGTGCCAAAAAACAGTGGCAGGGTGCATTGCTATGGAGAATTTCTACAGCTCTTTGTTGTTAAGTGATTTAATCCTGCTCGTATCAATTTGCTCTTTACTGAATTTTGCTGTGTGACATAGGGAAGAGGCTATGGTAAATAGATAATGATTTCACCTAATCTGCTGATGCTGCACCAGCACATCTTGCCAGCAGCTTTCCCCAAGAAAACACTATTGAAGAGTCAATGAGCTGTAAAATGACTACTTTTTCCTTCCAAAATAATATTTCACTAATGTCTATGTTTGGAAATTTATACAATATTTCAGTGACACAGATTTATTACAAAATATAGCCTTTCTTCATGGAGAAGGCGCCTTCTATCATTAAAGAATAGTTTTATCCAAAAGGCAGATTAATGGATTTAGCTATTTTAAATCTGCATAATATGCAAAATGGCAAATAACATTTCCACCAATATTCTATATTCAGTAACAGAAGCACCAGTATCTTGTGATCTTAACTGAACATAATTTCTGAGTGGTGAAATCTACAATATTCATAACAATAGCTTTTATTTATGGAGTATCTGTAATTCTCAGAGCATTCTCACACGTCCTGACTCACACAATTTATGCTGCTAGGCAACCTTGTGAGTTTTGCAGAATAGGTGTTAAATTTGATTCACCCAGGCTGTCTGAAATCCTTTTGTAAAAGGTCAGAGTATAAATGAATTCCATAAGCAACTTTGAGATTAGAAAACTGAGAGGTTAAGTATGTTACCTGAGACCATGCTAGTAGTACCATCCAAGGCCCTCTCTTGTGCAGCACTCATGGGAAGAACTGCTTAAGCCCTACCTCCCTTCATGTTGTTTCTTCAGAGAGAATGCATCTTCTTTCTTATGAGGTGTTTCTCCCACCCGCCTTGTCAATAATGGCATTATGACTTCAGAGCCACTTTCTGCAATAAGAACATTTTCCTCATACTGAATTACTCACCATACTTACTGTCATTCAGCATTAGCTGTGCTGTTTTGGCTCTGTTGAAGCAATATCATTTGCAACTCGAGAAGGATCAAACACCCAGGAAAAAGGTACAATGGCATCAAAACAAAGACAGAGAGAATAAAATAATAATCCAAACATAGACAGAGATCACAAGTTAGTATCATAAGTAATAAGATATATAAGCAATTATATAATAATATATATGCAATAAGAAAAATTGATATCATGTACCCCCATATATGACACAATGTTAAAGACTCATAATTTCTTTGTTTTTGTGGCCCAAAATGCATAACCAACCAAGAATAAACTGGATAAATTCAAATTATGGGTCATTCTACTAAATTATTGGCTAGTATTCTCTCAAAGTGTGAAGGTCATAAAAGACAGTGCTGATTAGGGAAGTCTTACAGAAATATGGAGACAAGATACAACTCAATTCGATCCTATATTAGATCTTGAAATAGGAAAAAAATAGCAGCAGAAATACTGGTAAAATCCAAATGTAAAGTTTAGCTAATAGTATTGTACAAATGTTAATTCTTAGTTTTGATAATTGTACTATGATTATGCAAAATGTTAACCTTGAGGAAAGCTGAGTGAATGCTACACAGCAACCCCTAACTCTTTGTGTAACTTTTCTTTGAGTTGCAAATAATTAAGTTTCAAAACCAAAAAATAAAATTGGTGGTTCCAAGTAAAGTGTGGTGACACAGGAATATCATCAGCAATTTGAAGTATTTTCCTACCTTTTTACTCTGACATCCTTCTTTGTCCACATTCTGCCTCTAGGCTTATCTGCATATTGAGCAATCTCCACTGGCCTCAGATCCACATGTTCCCATCCTATTCTAAGTTCCCTGGCAGGTTGCCATCTGTGGATTGTGTTGACTGGGTTTCCTTGTCCTATGGCTTCAGCTAGGACAATGAGAGTGGAAGGTTAGAGTCTTCACATTTAGGTCAAGATTAGTAGAAGCCTAATTTCCTGCACAAAGCTCCAGGTGACAGTTCTTATAGAGGACCTCTCTCCTAAATCTGTAGATACAGCCCTTCATAGGTTCCTGTAATCATCCTCCCCTTGCATATTCAAGATGCTCCCCATTCTTGGAGCTCCCTTTCATCCTGGCCACACTTCACTAAATGCTTCCAATTACTGAATTTGCACATGCCATCTCATTCTTGCCTGAACATAGGCTGATATACAACAATATATCAGCCCATATAGTAACAAAATGGTCCATGTAGTAAGAAGCATGGTGTCTTTTATTATGCAATTAAAGAGGCAAGAACGCAGTGCCTATTGACTTTCAGTTCTAGCTGTGTCACTTACTGGCTTCCTACTATTGTGTGTCTGGTCCACAGTAAGTACTCAGTATTTTCCATCTCATTCATGGAAAGTTAGTACTGTGGTTCAGAACAAATGTTCTAGAATCAGCCTTTACTCACTTTTTCCTACTATCAGCTGTGCCTCCAAATATATTTAAAACACGTGATCACATCTCACCTTCTATACCTTCCCAGTCCTGATTCACCATCTCTTCTTTAGATAATTACACTTCTATCCCTGATTAATTCTCCACTCTCCCCTTACACACACACACACACACACACACACACACACACACACACACAATCTTCAGAGTGGGCATAGGAATCTTTTAAAGTGTAATGAGACCATGAGACTTCTCTGCTCAGAATTCTCTTTTTTCAGTCAGGGAAGTCTACTCAGTGTCCTTCAATGACCATGAGGCCCTACAACTGTGCTTCGTCTATTCTTTACTTCTCTTACCATGTCTGCTACTTTTTTTTTCTCTATTTACTGTTAGGCCCCATTGGGCTACTTGTTGTTGCTCAAATATGCCAACTGTGTCCTGACTTCAGGGTCTTTTCCCTGCCTATTTCCTCTGTCTAGAAGCTTCTACAAGTTACCTTCCTGGTCTGCCTATTACTTCCTTCAGATATTTGCTCAAATATTAACTTCATTGATCAACCTAAATAAAACAAAACAAAGCAAAATAAAATAAAACTTTCTCCCCATTTTACCATCACTACTACTTATTTTGATGTGGTTGTTTTCTTCTTTTTTTTTGCCATAAAACTTAACCACTACTTATGATATATGTACTATAGTTTGAATATATCGCCTAGAGTTCCTATGAGGGAATCTTTTTTTTTTTGGGTGGTAGGGAGATGGGGATTGAACTCAGGGGTATTCAACCACTGAGCCATATCCCTATCCCCAGCCTAGCCCTATTTTGTATTTTATTTAGAGATAGGGTCTCACTGTGTTGCTTAGCACCTCACCATTGCTGAGGATGGCATTGAACTCGAAATCCTCCTGACTCAGCCTCCTGAACTGCTGGGGTTATGGGTGTGTATTAATGTGTCAGGCTCCTATGTGGGAATCTTAATCCCCGGTAACTAGGGGTTGGACCTCTAAGAGAGGACTAGTTCAGGAGGATTCTGTCTTCATGAATAAATTACTGCTGTTATTGTAGGAGGGTAGTTATTGCCAGACTGGGTTCCCTTCTCCCAAGTGTTCTTTCAATTGTTCTCTCTCCATATGATGACTTCTATCATATTTTCACACAATAAGAAGGGACTTGTGAGATATAAAACTCTTGACCTTGGACCTTCCAAACTTCAGAACTGTAAGAAATTAATCTCTGTTCTCTATAAACAAGGCAGTGTTAGGTATTCGGTTACAGTAACACAAAAGAGACTAAGGCCATGTGTTTTTATGTATGTGGTGTGTATGTGTATGAATATGAATATAAACTGTACATGTATACATACGCACATCTTCTTTTACATTCATTAGAATATATTACCTGTAATGTCATAGATTTTATTCAGTTTTATATCCCTAGTGACTGGAAATGTGTTTGATACGTAGGAGATACTCAATAAACATTTGTGAAAAAAAATGAACGTATAAATATTAATTGAACATATAAATGGACAAATGCTTTTTAAAGGTTATTTCCCCCAGGATTTGAGGAGATTTCTTCATGTGAAAGACAGAGATAGAATTGGAAAGAAATGACTTCATTGTCTAGTGAAGAAGCTGCATAGAAGAGAAAGGAGCCTTGTGAAGTATTCCTTCCACATTCTCCTCACAGAGCCACCCTGAATGGAGACTACCTTAGACGGAGACAGGTTTTATAGGTACAGTAAATAAATTTTTATTGCTAAGTAAGTCAAAATGTAAGCAGGAATGCTTAATGATACTCCAGGCACATGGTGGGGGGAAGGAACTAGTGCCATGCTTCATACATTGCTGACATGTCAGCTCCTGTGCTTCACACTTGACTGAGAAGCTATTAAAGCAATTACTAGGTCATTAACAAGGGCTTTTAAGAGCAGTTTTGAAACCACACACTAGGAGAAAATTTGCTTTGACAGGCATATTAGCCCACAGTGTGGCCTGGATTTGGACAGTTTCCAATTTACAGTCCTATCTCCTGCCTTCTTATCTTTTTATTTCTCTAATTCGTGAGGACATTCCCAAAGATAGGTAGAGCACATATTTCAGTTTCCTCAGCACTCCATATATATATGCCTGAACTGGTGGGAAACTACTTTTAGAATCTCTTTGAATCTGAGAATCCATATCCTGCCTATTCAGAAAGGTAAAATGAAAATGACAAATTACAAAAGTACAGTCCCTGGCTTGTACTTTTGGAGATTCAAGGGCAAGATTCAATAAAAATTTTGACCCCACATTTTAGTATCTATTGTAGAAATTATTGCTCCCTGAATCTAAGACACAGTTTCAAAGTTGGTATAAGTTACCCTTCTGCAGCTAAACTGACTTTATTTTGGTTACTCCTCTCAAGCTGGTGGGCTTCTCTCCTCTCGGGTCCAATGTCCAATTGTTTAGCTTCCTCTGTGTCTATGGCTGTCCTAAAGCTTCCAGGGAGACAGCTTACCCTCCCTGCTTCTCCCACAAAGACACACCTGTTTACAAATTACCTCTCTTCCCTAGAGGCAAAAGTTCTATCCCTTCTTTTCTAACTTTGGATAGAGAAGAACAGTCATTCATATCTTGGTCAAAGTCATTTATGTGGATTATAAATGATTACTAGGCTTAACTACAGAACTGTGTATTTGCATTTAAAGAGGAGCCCAACCCGAATCAATTAAATTTTGTATAACCTCCTAGCTCTGAGGAAAACAGCACTGTTCTGTTTCACTTCTTTCACAGAGACAGAAATTAAAGACATGCAATGAAACAGAAACCAGATGGGCAAGTTTTAATTCTCTATTTGTGCTTAAATGAAAAGCTAAGCAATAGCCATTGCTAGCAGATCTGTTTCTCTCTTCCTCTCCCCCGCCATCTGCCTAAGGTGGGGTTCTTTAAAAATAGGCCTGACATAGAGGAACAAGGGGAGAGGACATGGGAGGAACATGCATGCCAGAGGAATTGCATGTGAAGTCTGGGGGCCCAACATCTAGATAGGTGGCCATTCTAAGTGGGGGTTAAGTGTACTGTCTTTTTCACTCCATAGGGCATTTTGTCACAACTTCATCACTCATATGGGATACTGAGTTTGACCATGGAGTGTCTTCCTGCTCATTTATTTAAACACTAAAAAGTATATCCAGGCAATTTCTAAATAAAAAAAGAATTTTAAAGAGAAGATGTACAGATATTGCATATTATCCCTTATTACAGACACTCAGCCTATGTTGGAAGGGAGACAGAAATTTTGCAGAAAAACTCAATCCCTATTTGAGTATTGTCCATATTCTCTTGGTGAACAGATGACATGTACATGTTCCTGTAGGACAGTCTCTGTCATCTTCCCCATCAATTTTACTGGCACCTTCCTTCCCCTAGAAAAAGAATGGAGTAGAATCTTGACATTCTTCTTGACATAATCTGGCTGTGAAGGATCTCAATTCTTACGAGAAATAACATTGTTCTCACCTTTATTTCATCCATTACTTAGACTATCAAAGAGATTTACTTCAGTATTTTCAAATATATAATCTATTTAAAATTGTTATATTATCCAAAGCAAATGACTAATAATACCAAAATAAGTTAAACTAATTTCTAATAATTTTTGAGTGGCTGAACAATGAAAAACACATCATCATTTCATATCATTTTCAGGTGAAAATTTGAAAACTTTGAGACTCCTCTATCCCCCCACCCAATGTTGACACAATGGTGGCATCCTACTATGGTCATTCTAGTCTACATATTATTATCTTTCAAAACACATAATCATTTAACACGTTAATTTTTTTCGTTTAATACATGTTAAATTTTTCTCATGTAGTAAAATAAGATGTACTTATTATCCATAATACAAAAATTACTTCTCAGTTTAGTAGTTTAAACCAACAGTACACTTTTTTTTCCCTCTTGGTTTCTGTGGGTGATGAATTTGAGAGCAGCTTAGATGTGTGATTCTGGCTTGGGACCTCACTTATTGAGGATGTGACCAAGGGACTGACTTGGTCATCTGAAGATTTAACTGTGGATAGAAGTTAGAGCTTAGAGCTCATTCAAATATGCTTCCATTGCATTACTAGTAAGTCAGTGTTGGTTGCTGCAGGAGATCCCAGTTCCCCATTATGTGGAATACCTCTGTTGGATGGCTTGAGCATCCTTTTTACATAATGTTCGGGTCTTGACCCTGAAAAATTACTTGAGAAAGAGAAAGAGACACCAAGGCAGAAGTAGCAATGTATTTGTTATGAACTGAATGTTTGTGACCCCATAAAATTCATATGTTGAAATCCCTACACATAATATGAGGATGCTAGGAAACAGGCCTTTGAGAGGTAATTCATGAGCATGGAGTCATCATGAATCAGATTAATACCCATATAAAATGGACCCAGGCTTCTTTTATTTATTTATTTTTCTAGGTAAGAAAATGAGAAGAAAGCCATCTAGGAAATGAGCCCTCACCAGACACCAAATGTCCCAGCAACTTGATCATAAATTTCTCAGACTCCAGAACTATGAGAAATATCTTTTATTTAGGTCACCCACTCTATGGGAACTTGATATAGCATCCTGACCTGACTAAAACAGCGTTTTGTTTCCCAGGTTTAGAAGCCACTTATGAATCTTTCTTATTCTGTTGATCACATAGGCAAACCCTGACACTTATGGGTTGGGATTACACAAGAATGTGAATGGGGGGAAGAGGAGGCTGGGATCACTGGGCACCATCTTGAGGCTGGCAGTCACATATTGGTAAGTAGGACACTGACTAGTATGCATCGTAAACCCAACGAATATCAGCGAGAGAATAACTTTTTAAAAAATGAGAGAATGAGACACAAAAGGTATTATGATCAAGAGCATGAGAACATTGAGCAGGAGCAGTTGTCCCCTTGCCGGTCATATCCTATAAACAAAAAAAATGTTATTCTAAACTATTTACATGTATAGTATTTTTATTTTTGTTCTGTAACACTTTAAAATGGACAGTTGAAAAAAGAATAATAGCTAAAATTAACCTTTTAAAATCTCCAAGTACTATAATTTCAGTATCCTCATCTGAAAACCTTTCCAAAAGACTTAATCTGAAAACTGCTAAATGTAAAATAATTTTGAATAGTTATTATAAATCTTTTTAGAAATTATCTACAAATGGATATCTAAAGCATTACCTTTTAGTACATTTTCAGAAGAGCTACAATAAAAATAATGTGCATATAATTAGTAATTTTAATTATTCTATTGTTATATATAGGTTTTACATGTTTTTTTAAAAATTTCTTCTTGTGTGTGTGTATGTGTGTGTGTGTGTGTGTGTGCATATTTTGATGCTGCTGAGGATTAAACCTAGGGCTTTTCACATGCTAGGTGAGCACTCTACCTCTAAGCTATATGTCCAGCCAGCTAACTTCATTTTTTAAATAAATAATAAAAGCTATCAATATTTTTAAAATCTTCAATGTGAACAAACCTTTTAAATAAAAAAAAAGTCTCCCTTTCTTAACCACTCCCTTCGTGAAAGATACAGGTGCTTTTCTGTTAAAAAAGGGAAATGATTTTTTAAAACATCACTCTGTCTCTTCATTTCCTAATTAAGTCCTTTTACCCTTTGAATTCATAAAAGAGTAAAAGTTCTCATTAGCATTCATTCATCCAAACAAAACTTCGGCTTGAAATTTTTGAAAACGTTTAGAGAATCAAAAAGTTCTCAAGATAATGAGAGTCACCCTTTTTGCTCTGAAAATTAAGTGTAATTACTTCAGTTGGAGGATTAAATTTCACAATTCAGCACATTTGTTTCCAGGAAAATTATTTTGGTGGTAAGCCTACTTTGCTTTTTTCTTCTTTATACTAAAGCTACTGTAAATTTCTCTTTAATTTTTGGAGCACCCTGTTAGAAATGAAATATTTTACAAATTAAATACTATTTGATTAAATTCAACATGAAAATAAGGTCTTTTATGCCAGAAATTATGTTTAACCTGTCATTTTTCTTTGTGACAATGGTGATAGTCAATTTCAGTAAAAATATTCATATATTCTCTGTATTCAGTGCTAAAATTTTTTGTAATATTGAAAGTATTTTTGAATTAGTGACTTTCTACCTTCCTGTTTCATGACAATGGTTTTCTTTTTTCTGTTCTCTGTTTTGTCTGCATTCTGAGATAGTGATTGAGTAAAATTCACTCTCTTCTGTTTGATTCTTTTAATCTGTCTCATAAATCATACTTGCCAGTCCCTAGAAGGCTCTTGTTCCTCTTCTGAACTCATTCCAGATTTGCTTCTTTCTTTCCTTTTACTTTTTTAAATTTTAAATAATGACATGGGCAACCTTGAATGTAGTATTTCAGAGCTTCATTGAAAAGGAAACATTTATTTTTGACTCCTGCAGTATGTGTGGGTGTGTACATGTAGTGTGTTTTCAAAGAAGAAGCAGTATATAATAAAGTAAGAAGAATACAGGAATACAAATCAGGAAACCTGATTGTATTCATCTATACTGCCTCGATGTGTGTAATTTAAGAAATCACCTAAACCCTCTGAATCCCCTGTCTTCGTTAATTTATTCCTGAAGCATATATTAAAGAGAAAAATTAGTGATATAGGTAAGCAATGTAACATATTCTTCAGAAAGTATGCTATATATTCACAATTGTGTATTATCCAGGCATAAATAAAAATAAAATCTTGTAATGTTCAG